TGGGTTTGTCAACCCTGTCCCAGCTAGCTCTCTACGAAAGAAAAACACTTGACTCCATTTAAAGGTTACAAGACTCTTTTACTAGAGACAACTGGAAGCAGCGAAAGCAAGGCCAGATCTGAAGAAAACCCATGCAAATTGCTACATTGTTCCAAGCCCTTAGCCCTTCTCACTTTAACCAGTTCATCACTGTCCAATAAGATGGTAGCCTCAAGAGACTACTTGAATTAGACGGCCAAGAATTAGGATTTGGATGGCATGCCTACTTGTGGTATGACAAAGTTAAAATAATTGTTGATTTCAACAATCACTTTGTTAAACATGCCATCCTAAGGATTTGGAACAAATATAAAATAAGGTTCTCTGCAAAAGTGCTTCTTTAGGTATCACTTTTTAGAAAAGAAATGATGGCAAGGCCAGACTGGTGGACCTATGGTTAAAAAATATTTTTTAATCTTGATGAACCTACTCTCAAAAAGTTGGCTAAATTGACTGCTTTAATTAAAGAAAAGAACTAACTTCATTTTTACTTGGAAATCATTTCTGGATTTTGTGTTTGAGTGGAAAAAATGAAACTTTGATTGGATTTTGCTGATTAGATAGGTTTATTGTTATAGAAATGGCTAGTATATAATACTATGTAAAAGTAAAAAGTTGAGGTTTTGTATTATTACCTTATTCTATTGTGCTAAAAACAGTCAGAAGTTAATGCTTTTCTTTTTCTTTCTCTTTTTACTCTACACTTTTTCCTTTTTCTTCCCTTACCTTCCCATTATTTTCATTTTTCGTTGTAGTTTGTATTTCAATAAACTAATAAAATTTGTAATACTGCATTGTATTGACACTTGCAAACACTCTCTGAATCCTTTCCCAACTGGTAGCCACTCCTAACTGCCAGCTGGGAAGGAAAGGAAGAAAGGAGGAAAGAGATGAAGGAAGGAAAGGAAAGAAGAGAGATGAATGGAAAGGAAGGAGGGAGGGAGGAAGAGAGGGAGGGACGGAAGAAGGGAGGGATGGATGGATGGAGGGAGGGAGGAAGGGAGGGAGGAAGGAAGGAAGGAAGGAAGGAATGTTTTTGATGTTCACTGCCAGATTCCTGCAAGAAAATTTAATTGAGAAAGCCATCAAGAAAATGAAAGTCACTTGTGCTCCCACTGATTTTTTGCCCTCTCATGCTTGTTCTGTTTCTCTGCTTGGGTAATGCACTGTCTCTAGAACAATGCCCCAATGGGTCACAAGTTGTCTAGTCTTTAAGAAAAGTTTGGGAAGGGGAAGAACCATTGATTTATAAAACAATTTGGCTGATATAATTTCTATTTGGATCCATTATTTACATGGGTCTTCTGAAATGAATTAAAAAACATGTCCTTACTTTGCAGTCTCTTGCCTTGGGTAGGGGTCCCTTCCAGCACTATAGAACATAGAACCATAGGACTGGAAGGGACCTCAGAGGTCTTCTAATCCAATCCCTTGCTCAAGACAAGAGATGTTATACCATCCCAGTCAAATGGTTGGCCAGTCTATTTTTGAAAACCTCCAGCAGCAGAGCACCCATAACTCCAGGAGCCAAACTATTCCATTGATTAAGTGTTGTCACTTTTAGTTTTAGCTGTTAAAGGAGGTCGAGGTTGGAGAACAGAGGGGAGAGATCTTGAAAATATATTCTTAAACTTTGTAATTCCTAGCCTCCCTGCTTTTGAGGTCTACAGTATGGTATATTTGAGTAAATATCCTGGGGGACTGTGCATACATTTGCCCACTAGAGGTCTCCAGAGACAATCAATGTTATATTTCAGAACATATTTTTTTTAAAGGAGAGACTAGAGTAATGATTATGGAAGAATGCCACAAGATTTGGGACCAATTCTGATTAATTTTGCAAGAAAGGACAGAAGTTCTTTATGTTTCAAATTTTGAAACTACAATAAAATAGATTTTACAATGGCTATCCTAGCATCTCTTATACTCCTTTTGATTAAAGGATTCTAACCCACTCTAATTATAGATACCAAGAAAAGCATCAGTCTCGTTTCTATTCTCTCTCTCTCTCTCTCTCTCTCTTGTTTATGCCACTTATAAGCCATCACGCATGACAACTCCCTGTAAGACTCTGGTAATTTAGGGAACACTGCTATTGACACTTTTGTTTCTTGGCAAATGTGGGAAGAAGATTTAAATAAAAGTAAACAAATTTCTGATATTTTCTGACTTAGCAAGTGGATTCATTTCCCAATAAAACTCTGTGCTAATGTTATGATTCATCGCAGTCAGAAGATGTTTAAATTGGTTTTGGCATTTTTATCCACCTATCGAATCCTTCCCAAGGACCCGGGGTAGGCAGATGTGGATATTTGATGGTGTTAAAGGTATTGTCACTGATGTAAGCTGTTCCAAGTAAAGCTGCCTTTTGCAATTGACTGGTGGTGATTTTGTCAATGTCTATGGTGTCCAGATGTTTTGGGATTGCATCCAAAGTGCCTATCACTATTAGCATTATCTTTGCTTTCTTTTACCACAGTTGTTCTACTTTTATTTGCAGGTTTTTGTATTTTGTGATTTCCTCCAGTTCATTCTCTTCTCTTCTGCTGTCTCCATGTACTACCACATCCACTATCCAGATTTTTTAGTCTTTCTTATTGACAATTGTTAATTCTTGGTATTATTATTGGAAATGTTAACATTAATGTGCTGTAATTTAATGGAAATTTAAATTAGCAGTCACTTAACTCTGCAAAATCATCTTGATTTAAAGACTTACCTAGTTGTTAGAAAGTTATTAGAAGAGTTCACAATATGACATCACTCACATATTAAAGCACAGGAAAAAGGAGTTATCAAGTGGTCCTATACCAATAATAGTATTGTCCCTACTCTCTCATCAGCACCATATTTGGTAGCAGTGTAAAGTGATCTCAGAACCATTGAACCACATCTTTCAAAGATCCTAGAGCACCAGGGAATACCAGAAGACTGGAAATATGATATGGTTCCAATATTCAAAAAGAGGGGGAAAATGGATCCAGGAAACTACAGACTAATCAGCCTGACAACAATACCTGGGAAGATCCTGGAAAAGACATGCAAACAATGGATCTGTGAACATCTAGAAACAAACAAAGTTATTACTAGAAATCAACATAGGTTTGTCAAGAACAGATCATGCTGGACAAAACTTACTGCATTCTTTGACAAAGTGATTAAATTAGTGGACCAATGCAATGCTATAGTATATTTGGACTCCAGTTAGGCAAGAGAAATCAAACACGTGGGTATAGAATAGGTGGACTTGGCCCAACAGCAGTAACTGTGAGAGGAATCTGGGTATCCTGGTGGACAACTTCTTAAGTATGAGCCAGTAGTGTGCTGCAGCTGCCAAAAGAACCAATGCAGTTCTAGACTGCATGAACAGAGAGATAGTATCAGGATCATGTAAAGTGTTAGCATTACTTTATACTTCACTAGTAAGAGCACATTTGGAAAATCAGGTTTGATATAAAAAAATATGGAGACTTTAGATTAGAAAGAATGCAGAGAAGAACAACAAAGATGATTAGGAGACTGGAAGATAAACCATATGATATATGATTGCAGGAACTAGGTATATCTAGTCTAATGAAGTGGAGGACTAGAGATGACATAATAGCAGTCTTCCAATATTTGAGGGGGATGTCACAGAAAAGCCTATTCTCCAAAGAACCTGAGGGCAGGACAGGAAGTAATGGATAGAAGATTATCGAAGAGAGATCCAAGAGAGTTCCAACCTAGAATTAAAGAGAAAATTCCTGACAGTGAGAACAATTAATTAGTGGAAAGGCTTGGCTCCAGAATTTGTGGGTGCTCTGTCACTTTTAAGAAAAGATTAGACATCCATTTGTCTGAAATGGTATAGGGTCTCCTGTTTGAACAGGGGTTGGACTAGACAATCTCCAAGATCCCTTCCAACTCTGTTATTCTGTTATTCTGATTCTACATGCATACCACAGTCAAAGGTTCTTCGAATATAGAGGAGATATACTATATGTTCCTAGTTTACTCATGTGAAACAGATTATTGTATGTTTTTAAAGTACTGAAAACATTCAAGTGGTCTCTACCAGGAATCTTTTATGGAACCCTAATGTTCCACAAAACAGATGTTTTGAAAAACTCTTGGCTTGGTCAATTCCTGTCCACATAGGAAAATGTGAAATCATTTCCCAAGTAACTTAAACTATAAGCACCAGTATTCCTAGTTTTTCATTGACTTATTGTGAATATTATTAATCAATATTTTACAACTGTTTACAACACATTGTTAAATATTTATTACTCTTATTGGAATTACCTATAAATACATGTGTTTTATCAAATTAGCATGAATATATTAAAACAATTTCCCTAAAATTAACTATTTCAGACTGATGGTTCCCAGATATCATGTTTCTCCTTAAAATATCTTATTTTTCTTTGTTATTTTATACAGAAAAAGTACATCAAGTAGTATAGTACATCAAGAAGAATAAACTCTGTAGTATGGTACATCAAGAAGATTAAACTCTGTAGTATAGTACATCAAGAAGATTAAACTCTGGTTTAATCCTTCTGGACGAGGAGTACTTAAAATGCTTATAATATAAAGTGGCATTTTTAGTTTCTATAAGCAGAATGAAGACTCATATCTCATAAAGAAGTCTGTTAGAAAAAAGGTAGCATCTCCTGTTCTTTATCCAGAAGTTTTATATATCAGTGTATGGAAAAACATTCAGTCAGTTGAACTTGTGAGGCTATCCAGAAACTTTAAATTTGCTGCATTATAAACTATCATTAAATCTATAATCATAAACTCTAATTAATTTTATGGGAGCTATCAAAATGAATAGATTGTTTTGTAATTCACATACATGCAGAACAGGTTACAATCATCTGATGCTCCTTTTTCTCAGAGGGTGGTTCAAAGTTTCAGGTTGAGATATTTTCTCCTCCCTCCGTCTTGCATCTTGAATATAAACTTTGAGCTCTCTAGAGTCTTTGCCAGTTCTCTTCTCAGACGTTCAAGAAACAGAGAGACAGAAATATGGACCTCCTTTGGGTTGTTACAATCACTATTTGCTTTATGCCATTTCTTCACCTAGCAGAATCTTCCATTGCTCATTATGACAAGATTTTGACCCACAGTCGAATCAGGGCACGTGATCAAGGGTAAGCATTATGTTTCACATGGGTTAAAATTATTGCACAGTCTTTCAAGTTTTGTTTTTGTGGAGTTTAAACAAAATAATTACTGCATTTTAACTTATTAATAGGCTGAGGCTTGTTAATGTGACTCTCCAGAATACTTTTTTTTTTAGTCTTAAAATTTACATAGCCCTTCTACATAGATGTGATAAGATAAAGTCATTGCATATTATTAAAATTCTCACTTTTGATAATTTTGAGTTGTTTCTTTGGCTTTCTTTTAAACTTTGTTTAAACTATAGCCATGTGGCAAATGTATTGGTTAATAAATGGGTTTTATCAAAATTTTGACACAAGAAATTCAGAATGACATGCATTTAATTAAATAATTTATTAAATACATATATGTTTTTTGTGTATGTTTGTGTGTCTCTAGTTACAATATATACTATATTCACATACTTTGCAAAAATGAACACTATGAGGGATTAAATAGCAAATGCATTTTTATATAAAATAAACATTTTAATTTATTACAATACTGTTTGAAATTACTAAAAAGGAATAATATTATGGAATGTATTCAACTTATAGAGAAAATTATTTTTTCAGATTAAAATAATTCATTTTATTCAAAATATGTTTGTGTTTAGTTGTGGAATTATTTATTTTGGTCTTCTGATTTTATTTCAAACATGGACAATCAAATCAACTAACTGAATTACATAATATAGATATTTCCAGTGGCTAAAATGGGAAAAAAAATATTAACTATTCTCCTATAATTTTACTTTTATTATTTAAAACATTTATATACAAATGAAGGTGAATATACGTGTCCCAAAATAATGTTGCAGAATCCAGTCTGGGTCACACAGAAACCTCTGGTCCTGGTGACTGAACCAGATTGGATCCAGCGACATTTATATACCTGCCCATCTTATATCAAACTCTAACAGTAATCACAAGTTCACCTGCTGTTGAGTTGATACACATTCATGTTATCAAACTATCATTTCTGCAGAAAAAAAGCTGTGTCCATTTCTATTAAATACTTATGAGTATAATAAGGACAAAGTGGACTTCCATCTTCAGATTTCAGAGAATCATAGAGCTGGAATAGACCTAGAAATCTCCAGCGATGGAGTACCACAACTTATGGAAGCAAGAACATGCAAACATAATGGACATGACTAGTTCCCTTAAGTATTCTTCATACAGTTTAGCCTCCAGACCATCTATGTTGCTCTTTTCTGCGTTCATTCTAGGGTCACAGCATTTGTTTTATATTGTGGCGACCAGAACTGGGCACAGTATTCCAAGTGTGGCAGTACTGGTGCAGTATGGAACATTGTGATATTGATGCTATCCCTTTATTGAAGCAGCCTGGGACTATATTGGCTTTTTTTGGCAGCTGCAACATATTGGTGGCTCATACATAAGTGGTGGTCCATTAGGACATCTCAATCCCTCTCACAGTTACTGATGTTACCGAGCCATAAAATTAAGTCTAGGTCTCAATAATTCACTTCAGGCTATACTGTGGATGATTCCTTGTTCCTAATCAAATCCAGGTGTGAATTACTCCATTGCTGGTTTCAGAACAGAACTACAGAAGTACAGGCCCATTTTAACTGAAAACAAACAAAACCTGAAAACAAACAAAACAAGCAGAACCTGTGGATAGTAACAATTGTCGAGTCAAGAATGAGAAAAAGATTTTAGCTCTTGAATAGGTAATGGAATGTCACTGCCACAACTACATGTATGTATGAAAGCTTAAGAAGCAATTCTCTAAATAGATGGATTGCACAATAAAGGCAAGATGATTTTGCATTGTAATAGTATCTAGCCTTTTTCCCCCCTTCTGTTCAATTGTGTCTGATTCTTGAAGACTGCCTGGACAAGTCCCTATAGTTTTCTTGGCAAGGATTTTCGGAAATGTCTGCCATTGCCTGCTTTCTAGATCTAGCCTTACATACCTATGAAATAGTAATTACTGGTCTCCAGCCTTTAGTCATTTAGGTATGAGAAAACAAGAATATAAGAGAAACAACTTCAGAATGACAACAAAACAGGACAACAGAAAAGAGTGTGATAATTCCAGCAAGTAACCAAACATGGCTTTATCAAAGTCCCAAAAGGCATTTTCTATGGACTTCTTATTTAAATTTTTATTATATGGAATCAGAGTAAATAATTCTTAAATAAAACAGGGAGGCACCTGCAGGGTTGGAGGCTTTCATAAAAATGATGAAAGCAGATAGTGCTATGACACAAACTCAGTCTTTTGCATACATGCACAAATAAGAGGGCTGAAACTTGTAGTGTGAAGGTGCAAGTTTGCTATTTGCTCACCGTTCAGTAGATTCCTCTCCCTCACAGCCATTATTAAAGTGCTTTGCTCCAGGCTCTGAGATATCAAAAATTTTGCATTGCCCTCACTTGCTGGGCTCAATTCATACTCAGGTTACTAGGCCAGAAGTCATGCTGCTTTACAGTTTTCTTGTAAGACAGATCAAAAGGGAAGTTCATGTCTTCCATGCATAAATTGGCTGGAAATAAAAGGTGCCTTAAAAAATTCTGTCTGAGTCAATCAATCAATCAGAATAGAGCTGGAAGGGATCTTGGAGATTTTCTACTCAGCCTAGTAAATTGCTATCATCATTTAACAATTGAGTGTGTGAATATGAAACCTGAAAAATGGACAGGTGATAATAATATTATGATAAGCATCTTTGTGCTATGGTTAGAAGGATATTCTGACAAGCACAAATTTATTCCTAGCCCTCAGTGGAAGTTGTTTAATGTTGTTTTGAACTATTTGGTCTTTTTTCTATTCTCCCAAGTCAATTTCTGCCATGTACCTGATTTAGCTGCTTCAGTAATGATATTATTGGTGATGTAGTCCAGGATGGGATCTGCTGAGCACCTATTGGCTAGTTTAGGCTGGTATAGGCATGCCTTCTCCCCTCCAGTTGCTAGACATAGGCCAAATTCATATTAATGGGTCTAGTGATAACCTTTAACACTGTTATTTGACTGTACAGTAAAGTACTTTCACACTTCTGCTTCTACAATATATCTATCAAATATAGTTTATGCCTGATCTCTGTTTAATATTAATATTTAATAATAATAATAATAATAATAATAATAATAATAATAATAATAATAATAATAAAAAAAAGTTGGAAGGAAACTTGGAGGTCATCAAGTCCAGCCCCCTGCTCAGGGAGGCAGGAAATCCTATACCATTTCGGACAGATGGCTGTCCAGTCTCTTCTTTAAAACTTCCAGTGTTGGAGCATTCACCACTTCTGGAGGCAGGTTGTTCCACTGGTTAATTGTTCTAACTGTCAGGAAGTTTCTCCTTAGTTTTAGGTTGCTTCTCTCTTTGATTAGTTTCCATCCGTTGCTTCTTGTCCTGTCTTCAGGCGCTTTGGAGAATAGCCTGACTCCCTCTTCTTTGTGGCAGCCCCTGAGATATTGGAACACTGCTATCATGTCCCCCCTCATCCTTCTCTTTGTTAAACTAGACATACCCAATTCCAGCAACTGTTCCTCATATGTTTTAGCCTCCAGTCCCCTAATCATCTTTGTTGTTCTTCTCTGTACTCTTTCTAGAGTCTCAGTATCTTTTTTACATTGTGGTGACCAAAACTTAATGCAGTATTCCAATTATTCCAATTAAATATTTTAATATACTTTTATTTGCTTATGTTTTACTGTATTTTAAATTGTACAATGAAGAATAGCCTTTACACTAAGGTCTAGTAAGCACTAGTCTAAGGTTCCAAAGCTTCAAGGGCACCAATGCTGTTCTTCCTTCTGAATCATTCAAAAAATGTAAGTCTTCACATCAGCAGTATAGGGGGCACATCAGTCAGTGTGGCCTAAACTAGAGCCAGCATTAGCACTGTACAATAGTAAAATGGTGCATAATTTCCCAAAGATGACCACATTAAAGAAGTATGATGATGATCTTTATGGATCAACTCAAAAATGTAGAAGATATGGTACCAAGCAGTTAGTTCCCCTGGCTGGGAGATACCAATAAAGCTACAGAGGAAGAACAAAGAGACAATTATAGTAGCAGGAGTATTCATGATGCAGATTGGGTAAATCCTAATGCCCACCTTACCAGTTATTGACACAGTTCCTAATGAAAAGAGATCTCTCCACTCTTCAAATTAGAAGCATGGAATATCAATGGCTTAAATCTAGGAAAGCTAAACATTGTTAAGAATGAAATGAATAGGCTGAACACTGATATACTAGGCATCAGTGAAATTCATTGTACTGGCTATGGCTTCTTCAACTCTCATGGTCATATAGTATATTATTTTGACAGTGATAGCATCAGAAGAGGAGTGGGTTTCATATTGAATAAAAAAGGCAGAACCATAGATAGTTTTTGAATAGTGATAGGAAATGGCAATACATATCAACAGAAAACCTCACAATATGACAATTCTGCAAGTTTATACTCCCACTGTGGACTCAGCAATATGCTGAAATTCAGGAAACTTTGAAACAAACACCAAAGAAAGATATCTATATTATTGCAGATTTCAATGCAAAAGTGGGAGATGGAAATGGAAGAAACAGGGATCACAGGCAAGTTCAGCCTTGGTGAACAAAATGAGGAAAACATCTGATTCGTCTATTCACCCATGATTCAGAAATTTAATGTTGAGAAGATTTCCCTGGCATATACAGCTGAAGTTAAGAACAGATTTGAACTGTTCAACATGACAGAAAGACAATTAGATGAGCTATGGGAGGAAATAAAAACAACTAATAGCCCCAAAATATATACAAGAAACCAATGAACTTGACCAAATGGATATTAAAAGCTACAATAGAGACTGCGGAAGGGAGAAGGAAAGCAAAAGCCATTGGTGGCAGAGAAGAAATGAGAAGACTAAATACAAAATTCCAGAGAGAGGCAAGAAAAATATAAAGCAAAGTACTGGGCTGAGCAATGTAAGAAACTGGAGGAAGGAGCCATGAGAGGTCATAAAAGAAGCTTTTTCACTTATGTGAAGGCCAGAAACCCCTTTATGGCAAGAAAAGCTGTGGTCAGAGGATATGAAGGACAGGAATTGCATGACCAACAAGCAATCAGAGAAAGCTGGCAGGAATATGCAGAACAACTTTATGCAAAGAAAAAACAAAGCTAAGCCATAAGAGGAAAAACTGATCTACGAAAAATGGAACCTGGTATCCTGGAGGAAAAAGTAGTGTGGGCAATCAACCAGTTGACTAACCCCAAAGCCCCAGGAGTTGATGGAATTCCTGTAGAATTGCTGAGACCACTGCCAACAAAAGCACTGACAGTGCTTTGCCAAACTATGTGGAAGTCTGGTCAGTGCCCAAAATAATGGAAAAGGTTGATATTTATTCCAAAGAAAGGTGATATGAAAAACTGTTCCAATCACTGAATCATAGCCATGATACCACACGTGAGTAAAATTCTTTCGAAGATAATTCAGCAATGTTTGAATCCAACTGCCAACAGAAAACTGCCTGATCTACAAGCAGGGTTTCAGAAAGGGAGAGAAATATGTGATCATATTGCCAATCTGCATTGGAAGATGAAAAAAACAAAGGAATACTCAAAATACTTCTACATGTGCTTTCTTTGATTGTGTTGACCATGACAAGTCTGGAACTGCCTCAAAGAACTAGGAATATCACTAGACCACATCCAGCTCATTCAGTCATTGTACTCTGATAAGATAGCCACTGTAAGAATGGAATATGGAGACACAGAATGGTTCAGAATTGGAAAAGGCATTCATGAGGTTGCATCCTGTTACCTGTGGTATTCAACATGTACACAGAAATAGTTATGAGAAATGCATATTTGGAGGAATCTATCATTGCTTGCTAGTCACCTTTGCTGTCCAAAGAATATGCAGGAGCTTTCTCCAGCACCACACCACAAATGAGTTGATTTTTCTTCCTGTCTTGCTTTTTTACGGTCCTACTTTCACAGCCGTAAAGGCAATATATAAATATTTTAAGTAAGTAAACATTTATACTGTAAAGGATTTTTCGCATAGGCCTTTTTCTTTTTCTTCAGGCCAAATGTCTGTGCTCTCCAGCAAGTTATGGGAACCAATAAGAAATATTTCAGCACATGCAGGAACTGGTATCAGGGAGCCATCTGTGGAAAGAAAGCGTAAGTTCTGCTCAAGACTATTAACTATAATTATAGTAATACTTTTTAATTTTATTTATTAATTTTGTGTGGATTACTTATAGCAGGGGTGTCAAACTGCCGGCCCACGGGATGGATGCGTTATCCAGAAGCTGCACCCACCCCATTGCCGGCAATGGCAAAACCGTCCTGATATATTGCGCAACGTTATGTGATTTCACAAGTTTGACATGTCTGACTTATAGTGTCTGTGTAGCATAGCCAGCTCGATTTTTATGATTCTATTTAGATGGAAATAAATATACAGATAGCCCTTGTATCTACAGATTGCCACTCATTATGGCAATGCTGAGAAGTATTTTTGATGGGGCCTTGTAGCTGTGATCATTGCAGTGTCCTTGTAGTCACCTGGTTGCAATTGGGGTATTTGTTAATTCCTGTCAGCTTCCCCATTGATTTTGTTTGTTTGAAAGTCACATGATGTTGCACCTTATGACTGCATTCCCAGTCTCAATTCCTTCAGTAAACAAGGACTACCTGTATATATATTTCAGAGAGCAAATTTTATAAATTAATCTTTACTGGAATGATATAAAAGCTCTATCTGGGATATGGGAACCTAGAATTCCTTAAGTTGTACAACATTCATATATCAAAAACAGTATTTGTTTTGAACTTATAAAGATTGTAATAAAGACTGGCTTGTTTTGATTGTTGCTATAAATGCTTAGAACTGCAACACAAACCTGTTGCTTCCATTTCTGTTACTGCAAAATAGAATTGAAATTGGATAAATGACTTGCAGGAGGATGACTACTGGAGTTTAGGAGGTTCTCTTGTTCAAGTATATGGTCCTGAACAGAATCAGAGTACTGAAGGACTACTGAGCAATTAAGTAATGTGATGACCTATTTTGAGGGAAAAATGTTATTTAATAAATGGTAAACTAAGGATCTGTTAGTACTGCAAACTAGCTTTGCTTTAATTCTTAGAGAGCTTCCCTGCAGCAAATGAAATACAAAATATATATTGCTGGAATTTCAGATACAGGGTTTTCAGTAAAGATTAGTTATCCTCCTTGTGGAAATCCAGGATCCCTTTTTAAACTGCTTTTACCTTTACTCTGTGTATCACTCTTGTTCCTGGCTTTTACTCCGATTACAGACTTTTAATGCATTTGTTCTTATTGTTGCTTTAATATGGTTTTTGTATTGTGCATTTTGTTTTTATATATTTTTACATATTTTATATATTCTATATAATTCCTCTAATCCACTTCAAATGTGTTTAGATTAAAAGTGATACTAAATAAATATTAAGACTTAGGAAGATAAAATAATCTTGTATTGGTACTCTGCAGAACGGTTTTATATGAATGCTGCCCTGGCTATATGAAAATGGAAGGAGAACGAGGATGTCCTGCAGGTATTATCATGGAATTATTTAATCAACTCATTTTTTTATTTTTACATTTGTGTCCACCATAATTAATTTGACAAATTTAAAACATCTACAGAAAAAAAGACTGCCTTGAAAAAATTAGAAGATGCCCTTGAACAGACCTATTTTTCTTCCTTTAATGAACCAGACGATCATTCCAACCTGAACCATACAGAGACGCTGTTCCAGGGTACAGGTGTTGCCACCAACAAACAGCTTCATTGCTTCAGCTCCCTTTATTTCCCAATGGTAAAACATTAGGAATAAATTCATGTTGGACTAGGCAACCTTGTAGGTGCAGAAGTGCCAAGCCATCAATGTAAAAAAATATTTAAATTGTACCTGGAAGCTAATCAGTGCAGGCCTGTAGTGCGTTCTCAATGATGGAAACTAGCAGCAGTAAGAGAGGCTGTTTCATTTTGGACTAATTGCAGATTTTAAGCATTTTTGAAATATCCTGTGTGAAATGTATTGCAGTAGACTAAACTGGTGATAATTGGTACATGAATTACCTAGGCCTAGGGCATCTTGTGCTAAGTAGGATCCTAATCGGTGCCAATGCTGGGCCAAAGCCTTTTTTGCCAGCAGAAACTATAAATTCAAAAGATTCCCAGATCATGAATCTATTCTTTCAAAGGTATTGCTTGCTTGTCCAGAGATAACATTGCTGTGGATGGTGAGCTTTGATGTACAAACTGTACTTGAATCTTGTCAGAGTTCAGTTCTACTTCTTTTATCCTATCCAAATCCTGACAGTTTCAAGACGTTGTGATAAGGCATCAATGACATGTTGATTTAAAGTTGGGTATTCTTGGCAAATTGGTGATATTATTCTGTTGGATCATTCAGCAGTTTATGGACATCATAAAAAGGAAGTTTGATTATTCTCTGCCATGTGCAAGTTGGACCAGGATAAGAATAGATCAAGTTTGCACACAGCAGAGGATAATGTAAAAGAATGCCCTTTCTACTTCCTTGGATTTCACATGCTAGAAGAAATCCCAGATTACTCAAATAATTGATCAACACAAAAGATCCTAAGGAACTTTATTTGCATTAAAATCTGGGCGTTAAAACAGGAAGCATTCAATACTTCAGCAAATTCCATTAATAATTCACTAAATAAAGAGCAACTAATTTAGAAAAGAATTGGATAACTACAAGTTATTTTTCTTTTTCAGTGGCTCCAATAGATCACATATTTGGCACTTTGGGCATTGTAGGAGCTACCTCCACTCAACATTATTCTGAGATGTCGAAACTGAAGGAAGAAATTGAAGGACCTGGCTCTTACACATTCTTTGCACCAAGCAATGAAGCTTGGAATCTTTTAGATCGTGTAATTATATCAATTTTGATTTTTAAAGAAATGTTTTATACAAAGAAATCCATAGATAAATAAATTATGACGGAAGAAATGATAACACTCAGCTTTTGTACATATTATTGGAACTATGGTTAAGTTTATACACATATATTCGCAAGCTCATTTACAGACACACACATAGCTCTAAATAACTAGTATTTAGCATTGCAGGCATGAGGTAAAATGGCTGAAACAATAACTTAAAGTTGGATTTTCACAGTAGCTTCTAAAATACAGCTTCTGGCTTCAGAAAGGCAGACGTTCAAATTTACAGGACCAGGCTGCAGAAACTGTTTTCTAGTCTATTTTATTGTAATGAAAATGTATTATTGTGACAACCAATCATGTCTTTTCCAGTGTACCATGTAACAAGTAAAATGATGATTATGTTGCTGAATCCTATGTTTCTACCTACGGTGAAAGCCCTGAGATCATATGGGGAGAGTCCACAATCCTCCCTCAGGTTGTCATTAAATCTTAGAAAATGGAATTAATGCTGAAATGGAGAGAATGCTCAGTAAAGGCTTATTTTGCCTGGTTTTAGGCTTTTCCAATTACCCAGCGTTGATGGAATTAACTGAATACGAGAAGCTAGGTGTAGACTAAATTGAAGAGGACAAAGCTTAAGAGACTGGACAGTTTTTGACAGTGGAATAATAATGATATAAAGGACACTGTTGAGCTGGCAAATATTATGGCAGGTTGATCTAAGAAAACCTTTGCTAATAAGGTAGGGAGGAATAGAAAAGGTTGGGGTGGATATAATTAAACTTTTTCTGAAGAAAAAGATGGAAAAAAGGGGGATATGAAAAAATATAAAGATTACCAAGAAAATGAGCTGTAAGAAGAGTACACTTAGTAGATGAAGTAGGAAACTGAAATAGTCATTAGGCAGCAGTAGCATGTTTGTCTTGTTGCCTGCTTTGTGCTTAATTGTGAGATATCCAGAAAATATCAGCGCCATAGTCTGGAGCAGAAAGTTGAAGCTATCCTGGAAGAAGGAAATGTTTAGCTACTTGTTACTGTTGCCAAGTAGTGGCTATGTCAATGAAATCACTAGTAGGCTGGTAAGTCACAAGATTCAGAAAGTAGTCAAAAATACCTCACTAGCTAACTGAAATAATATTAATGGAATATCTACCTGAATTCAACCCCCCTGCCTCCAGGAAATCTACAATGGTCTGATTGAGAATGTAAACATCGAATTGTATAATGCTCTGCACAATCATATGGTAAACAAACGGATGTTGACAAAGGACTTTCGGAATGGCATGACTCTGGTGTCTATGTACAACAATCAAAAACTGCATATAAATCATTATCCCAATGGGGTAAGCTTATTTGTATAACATAAGTGGACAATAGGATGTGGCTTACATCATAAATTTTAGAAAGAGATCTAAGATTCAGTGTTCTAGTTTAATTTTCCCTTGAAATTCATATGAGTAATTTGTTCATATAAGATAGTTATGTCATGTATTATTATGTTAATGATTTTCAAAAAATTGAAAACAACATACAAAATAATCAAAGATAACAATATTTTAAAACTCCAGTCTACTTAAAATATATAAAAATGGTGTCCAAAGAACTTTATTTGAGGGCACTCCTATTGATATTAATTGTCCCATGGATAAGGTGTTGATGCACTTCAATCGTGGGTAATCTCTCATTGATCTTAATTAATTTACCCATCCTATTAGAATCCTTAGATTAGTACTCAGACCAACAATCTATATGAAAGTAGTTCAGTAATCATGATTACTATTACTTTTTCAGTCACACAAAATGAAATGCAACTTAAAGGGCTCCTTTGCAAAATATGTTCCAGCTAATATTGTTCCCTGAACTTTTAAAAATAAGCAGCACAAGTTTCATAAGCAAGTTATAAAATTAATTAAAAGAAAAGACTATGTAAAGCTTGTTTGGTAAAAGTTGGGAAGCCAAATTTATAACAAATGTTAATTCATGCTATTCTTCCAATTTAGGTTGTGACTGTTAATTGTGCCAGAATCATCCATGGCAACCAAATTGCTACAAATGGTGTTGTTCATGTAATTGATCGTGTGTTAACTCCAGTTGGCAATACTATTCAAGACTTCATTGAATCTGAAGATGATCTCTCCTCTCTCAGAGTAAGCTTTTATTTAATCTTATTTTCTGTGAACCTAGTCTTTTAAAATATTTGGTATCCCTATATATAACTAAAAATCAAACTAAATTGCATGTAATGGAATAGTACAGTAAAATACTATTTTAAAAATAAAAATAGTTTGGTTGGTAATTATTCCTCCCACCCAGTTCTATTATTAGACCAGTGATAGAAAAAGCTATTTGGAAAATTATTGATTTTCCAGAATTAGTAGTATCAAAAGATACTAAATAAAATAAAATCTTCCCACTGACAAATCTGAACCCTCACCGCTTCTTAAGCTACAGAGGCTACATTTTGATAATCGGAAATGCAAATGTGGTGCCATATTTGTATCCTACTCTAGAAGCATTATATGCTCTTGCTCCATCTACTAGGTAAAAAGCCCTTTAAACAAAGCTGAGGCAATGAGTTATTTAACAATTTGCACGGTGCCTAATGAATGGAGCTTAGCCCAACCTTGCTTGTACTGAAAGTTCATTCTGTTCCCCAGACAAACTGGGAATATTTTTTATCATCTGCTTTTCTTTCCTTAAAGTGCTTGAAAAGGAGGAATCTGTCTTTGCAATTGTGAACATAACTGCAATATTATTAACTGTCTAATTTCGATTTTGGCTATGATCTTTTGCACAAATGAAGGAATTTGTTAATTTCATCACTGTTTAGATTGTTCTTGGAATTCTTTTTAATGAAAGTTTTTATATAATAGAGGAAGTTGTACTGAAAAGAAGGAGTGAAATTAATGAACTATATGTTGATCAATTTTCAGTGTTAGAATATTGATTAAATTTGCAAGTATAGAAGAAGAGCAGGCAGAATTGAGGGTGAAGTTAAGCAAGTCATCAGCCTAGCATTTTTACATTCCCACAAATTATCTAAGACCAGCCCCTCTTGAATTCCCATGGCCCTTCTCTGGTATTAATTTAGTACTGAACTTTACTTGGCAAGATTCTTGTGTATAGGCTTGAGCAATAAATCTGAACTACAACTTAACAAATGGCCTTGATTCTTTGCACCTGATAGCAAGTCTACTATTTTATATTTGCAACACTTTCTTTATTTTTTGTTCATTTTTTTTTCTTTTCTCTCTCTCTTTAAATATTTATAAATGTTTTTATTGGCTTTCCAGGTGTCTTTTCCTTTCCCCAATTAAGGCAGACCTTGTCACTACAGGTAGTCCTCAACTTATAACCATTCATTTAGTGACCATTTGAAGTTATAACAGCACTAAAAAAAGTGACATGACTATTTTTCACACTTACGACCATTGTAGCATCCCTATGGTCAACTGCTTCACATTTATGATGGTATCAGTGCCCTGAGCTCATGTGATTTTTTTTGACCTTCTAACAGGCAAAGTCAATGGGGAAGCCAAATTCATTTAATAATCATGTTACTAACTTAACAACTGCAGTGATTCACTCAACAACCGTGGCAAGAAAAGTTGTAAAATGGGGCACAACTCACTTAACAACTGCCTTGCTTAGCAACAGAAATTTGGGCTCAATTGTGATCATAAGTTGACAACATTTTAACTAAGCTAATTTATCTGAAAATGAAGAAAGGAAAGAGAGGTAGGTTTTAACCTAACTTCATTTGTAGATAAATTAGATTAGTTAAATAGCTTGAATTAATTTTCAAAAAGCCATATGTAAATAAAGTATTAGCAAGCAGAGAAATGTGTTCTTTTCACACAGTGCATTTAGCTGCTTTATGAAATGTTGATATGCACACAGTGGAGGAAGACGTTCCTCTACCCTTTTCTTTTCCTACCTATGCATATACTTAAAGCATAATCTTATGCAGTTATCAGTAACAGAGTTGGAAGGGACCTTAGAGGTCATCTAGTCCAACTCCCAATCACACAGGAGACCTATACTATTTCTGACAAATGGCTGTCCGGTCTCTTCTTAAAAGCCTCCAGTGATGGGGCACCCACAACTTCCAAAGACAATTAGTCCCACTGGTTGAATGTTCTTACTGTTAGGAATTTTCTCCTTAGTTCTAGGTTGCTTCTTTCCTTGATTAGTTTCTATCCATTGTTTCTTCTCTTGCCTTCAGGTGTTTTGGTAAATAATCAATCAATCCAAATAGAGATGGAAGAGACCCTTCTAGTTCAACTCACTGCTCACTACTATTTCAGTCAAGTGATTGTCCAGTCTCTTCTTTAAAACCTCCAGAGATGAAGTACCTACAACTTCTGACTGCAAGCTGTTCCACTAGTTAATTGTCCTCACTGTTAGGAAGTTTCTCCTTAGTTCTCTCCTTGATTAGTTTCCATCCATTATTTCTTGTCTTGATTAGTTTCCATCCATTGTTTCTTCTCTTGCCTTCAGGTGCTTGGGTAAATAAGTTGAACTCCTCCTCTTTGTGGCAATCTCTCAAATACTGGAAGACTGCTATCATGTCACCCCTAGTCCTTCTTTTCTCTAGACTAGCCAAACCCAAATCCTGCAACCATTCTTCACATGTTTTAGTCTCCAGGCCTTAGTTGCTCTTTTTGCACTTTTTCCAAAGTCTCAACATTTTTTTTGTAATGTGATGATCAAAATTGGATGCAGTATTTCAGGTGTGGTCTTATTAAGGCTTTATAAAGCGGTACTACTACTTCATGTGATTTTGATTCTACGCCTCTGTTTATACAACCAAGGATTGTATTAGTTTTTTTGGCTGCTGCCACTCACTACTGACTCATATTTTAGAATTAGAATAGAATAGACCTGGAAGGGACCTTGGAGGCCTTCTAGTCCAGACCCTGCTCAAGCAGGAGAACCTATATCATTTCCGAAAAGTGACTGTCTAGTCTCTTCTTAAAAACCTCCAGTGATGGAGTGCCCACGATTTCTGGAGGCAAGCTGTTCCACTGGTTAATTGTCCTCACAGTTAGAAAGTTTCTCCTTAATTCCAGGTTGCTTCTCTCTTTGATCAGTTTCCAACAATTGTTTCTTGTCATGCCTTCTGGTGCTTTGGAGAATAATTTGATGCCTTCTTCTTTGTGGCAGCCCCTCAAATACTAGCATACTGATATCATGTCACCCCTGTTTCTTTTCTTTAGACTAGTCAAACCCAAGTCCTGCACTGTTGTTCATATATTTTAGTCTCTATGCATTTGATCGTTTTAGTTCTCCAAAGTCTCAACATCTTTTTTATAGTATAGTGACCAAAATTACTTGCAGTATTCCAGGTGTGGTCTTACTAGGGTTTTATAAAGTGGTACTAATACTTCGTGTGATCTTGATTTTCTGCCTCTGTTTATACAACCCAGGATTGTATAAGCTTTTTGGCTGCTGCTGCACACTGCTGGCTCATAGTCAAGTGATCATCCACTAGGATTCCAAGGTCCCTCTCACAGTTATTGTTTTTGAGCCAGATTTCGCATAATCTCTACTTGTACCGTTGGTTTTTCCTATCTAAGAGTAAAATCTTGCTTTTCTCCACATGAACAGAGTTATTATAAGCCACTTCTGCGAAAGGGAGGAGGTCAGTCTGGTTTGTTTGCTGATAATTCACATAGCATCTGAGATACTGCTCTACCATTGAGTTTGCTGATTCAACTGCCCCATTTGTAGACGGGTGGAAAGCTGATGACAGTCCTTGTGATGAGCCAATTAGTTTGAGAAAACCCCTCCACAACCTGGCCGTGATCTGCACCCCCCTGTTTGACATTATTCATTTTGGCACACTGTGCAGTCTGTAGATATGCTTCAAAAACATCTTGGTTAGTCGTTGGGCTGACAGGAGTCCTTTGCAGGCAATGAAATCAGCCTGCTTTGAAAATAGATCTATCACAGTCCAAATCATCATATTCCCCCTACTTTCAGGTAATTCCACTATAAAATCCATAGCAATTTCTTCCCATGATTGGGAAGGGTCTGTGACGGGTTGTAATAGTCCAGGGTTTTTCCTTAGAATTCTTTTCATGGTGGCACACGCAGCACACCCTCTTGACACATCCTGTTTCAGACCCAGCCACCAAAATTGCCGATGAACCAGATGTAATGTTTTTAAATACCCAAAGTGTCCAGCTTGTTTCACATTGTGACTGTGCTGGAGAGCGTTAAGGCAGAGGGTTTCAGGTAAATACAACTTCCCCCCTTTATATGCCAAACCATCCCTGCAGATCAAGGAGGTTTGATTTTCCTTGAACCATCGATCGTTGAGGAGTTCCTGTTTTAATTTCTTCACCCCAGGGTCATCGGGGTTCAGGACTTTCGAAGATGGGGCTCTCCATGGCTCTTGTATTGAGGTAATCTAGATAAAGCATCAGCTAAACCCCCCTCCCCCCGGTATGTACTTCAGGGTGAAGTTAAATCAGTTAAAGTATTGCACCTGTCATACTTGTTTCATGGACAGCTTGCAGGGAGTTTTCAGTCCCTCTAGGTTTTTGTGATCAGTCCATACCTTGAAAGGCACCTTGCTCTCTTCTAGATAGAGTTGCCAGTTTAATGGAGCCCAACAAATTGTGAAGGCTTCCTTCTCCCACACTGCCCACCTTCTCTCGCAATCAGTGAACTTTTTTGAGGTAGGCACAGGGCTGTAGGACTCTATCATGGTTCTTTTGCAGTAGTACAGCTCCGAGGGCCATGTTGCTGGCATCGGCTTGAATCACAAAGGGTTTCCCTGGACAAGGATGCTTTAGGACTGGTTCGACCACAAATTCTTTTCAAATTCTCAAAAGCAGTTTGACAGTTCAAAGTCCATGCTAGCGGCTGGCCTGGTCGCGGCTTCCCCTCCTCTTTGCTTGTTTTCAATAAGTCAATGGGGGTAAAACAATTTTGGCAAAGGAGGGGATGAACAGTCGGTAAAAGTTGGCGATTCCCAGAAAGCTCTGAAGCTGTTTGCGAGTCTTTGGGGGTTGCCATTCGATTACAGCTTTCACTTTAGCAGGGTACATTTCAATGCCCTCACTGGAAATTCTGTAGCCAAGATAATCTAGTCCGGTCTGATGGAACTCACACTTTGATAGTTTAACATATAGTTTGG